TTTGGGGGTCACGGCAACAGCTTGAGAGGGGCCAGTCTTATCACTGCAGCTAAGAAAGTAAGTGAGTGAGTGAAAGTTGCTCAGTCATGTCCAACTTTGTTACCCCGTGGACTATACAGTCCATGGACTTCTCCAGGCCAGAATACTGGAGTGGGTAGCCTTTCCCTTCTCCAGGGGACCTTCCCAACCCAGGGATTGAACCCAGGTCTCCTGCATTGCAGGCAGATTCTTTACCAGCTGAGCCACCAGCAACTAAGACAAACCTTCACATAAGCAGCATGGAATCTTTAGTGAGTGGGACCACCAAGATGTTAGCCCAGGGGGTTCACAGTGCTAAACAGCCACATCCCTCTTGGGTCTGGACTCCCCTGCACTTTTCACTGTTTCTCATGCAGAGTGAACCACCAATAAATATTTGGATGAGTCCAATGAGCCACGGATTGCAGAAAAAGGATCTCAAAGAATAATGACCTCGAATTCTTCCAATTCTGACTCTTAAGATAACGCAAGAGAGTTATCTGGGGCAAGAGAGTGAGAGTAGCTTGAAGACCTCTTGTCTCCCTTGGAAGCAAAAGGGTGATGGAGGGTGTAACCTGAAGACCCCCGGCTCGTCGGGGCTGGGGGCGGGGGCGAGGGGTCCCATGCAGCCAGTGTTCAGCCCATTAACCAAAGTAGAGAAGCCTGTCTGCTGCCGCTCCCCGCCTCCCCCTCCTGAATTTGTCTTCTCAGGACCTGAACCCAGTTGCTTCCCGCATGACAAGCAGGTCCAAGGAATGAGTGAAATCCTCTGAGTGAGGTTCCTCCTTGGAGAAAAAGAAAGATGCCTAAAATCAAAGTGCCTGCAGCCCTCAGTCTTCCCTAGAATACTGAGAGGGAGAGGAAAAGACGCTGCGCACCCCGAGGCTCGCCTACGTGAGATCTCCAGCTCAGGGCCGTGTGAAGCCAGGAGCACAGACGTCCCTCCTGGTCAGCGCTGAGCCTGCAGGAGGGCTCCTGTCACCCGGCGGTGGGCGGGGTCACTGGGCGGGGCCAGGCCTGCAGCTGGGGGCGGGGCCAGGCCTGCAGCTGGGGGGTGGGGCCAGGCCTGCAGCTGGGAGCCAGGGCAGGGCAAGTTTTGCAGACAATCAGACCTCAAGGCGGCTGCTGGGACATTCACTCAGACATGATGGGGACAGAGGGGGGGTCTTGTCAAACCCAGAGACATGAATCCTTCCAACCTCTTTCCTCTGCTGAGTCTCCTATGTCCCTGGGGATGAGGGCAGGAGGGGATGACCCCGTGGCTGGGGGCAGAGCGGAGCCTCAGCCTGAGCCCAGTGTACAGGCTTTCCACAGGGATGCCCCGATAGCCTGGCGGTGCTGGTGGGGGGGGACGGCAAGTGACCGTTCTCAGCAGAAGAGCAAAACTACTTTCCCTGAACACACTCAGCCAACGGGCCCGCTTTCTATTTCCATTCAGAGCAGACGCTCGTGGTGTGTGTCAAACACAGCATGCTGAAGGGCGGCTGTGACTCCGGGTGGGCCCCTCACAGTCGGATGAGGCCACCCCAGGGGCTGCGTGGTGATGGATGGCCCAGACTGGCCCTCGGACCCAGGGGGGAGCAGCTTCTGGGGGTGAGAGAAAAGGCAAGAGGTTGGGGCCCCAGCAGGAAGGGCGGGTCCACACGATGCAATCAGGCCTGGAGGAGGGGACGAGTGAGATGAGAGTTCATGAAACACGTGAGAGCAGCCTGAGGACCATGGACAGAAGCCACTGCTCCTACCCGCTCCCCCCAGAGAGCCCCCCTCCTTCTGGGGTCCATCCCCGCCTCGTAGCAGCACGTGTGAATAACATAAATGAAGCGTGGTAAGTCACCTCGCTTCTGGGCAGAGGTATCCCCAAGGGCAGCCTCCAGCAGCTGGCCGCAAGGGTGAGGCTCCCACTGGCACCCGCCCCCCACCCCGGGGCCTGTCTAGCAGCTCCATCCATTCCTACTTGCAGCGCCTCACCATCATTTTTGGTAACTTATTCTAGAACAGGCAGCGCGCTGCTTAGCTGGCACTGAAGCCATGGGGGGCAGCCGTGAGCTTGATGGCGCCCGAAGCCAGTTCCCGGGGGCACGGCTGTCCCCAACCCAGACAAAGCCATCTCGGGGCAAAGCAGAACCTGGGGCTTGGGAAGAAGACAGCTCCTTCTCCACCTCAACTGCCCCAGTCTAACCCCTAAAGGATTCGCGCAAAGGACCCTCTTCTCTAACACGCACTCACGTTCAGTCTTGTCTTTGCCTCCAAAAAGAAAGAAACTGACCAAAGAAAAAAAGCCAAAAAATTCTTTCTCCTCCTGAATTTCAAGGGGCCAGTGAAGGAGTTTCTGTCTAGAGACCTCGGGACGTGCCCCGTGAGCCGGGCGGCTCACTCTGACCGGTCCACGCAGACCTTTCTTTAGGAGAAGTGAGAGCGCCAGCTGAACAAGGCCTGCTGTGACCTAAACCAATCTCCCTCCAGGCCCAGCGGGGTCTGGGTAAGCAGCCAGCAGCCTGGCGGCCCCACCAAGCCCACCTCCTCCCGCCTGAGAATCACCAGTGCATGTTCATTAGCAGCTCAGACGTCCACTTTTCACCTTCTCCATTTGGCTTAATTCTGAAGTAGAAAAAACCACCTCTCACAAACAGCACACTGCCAACGTGAGCCACCCAGGCGGCAGAGAGAGACTGCAGGCCCCCTGCAGCGAGGGAGGAGGAAGTGACGGCGTCCGGCCCGGGTGGGCCCCCTAGTGCGACCCCGACCTCATAAGGGATCCCGGGGTTGGGGGGAGGACAGATGGTCTGAACCTGGACCACTGGCTCCGCACTCGACAGTGCCAGGCGACCCAGAGCTTCACGTAGAGAAGCAGGTGGCGGACCAGGGACACTCACCGAGCCGGTGACACTGGCCGGAGGGGAGGGCGCTCAGAGGGGTAAGGGCAGGGATTTCTGGGACTCCCCGCCATGCAGAGCGGTGTCCTCCCATGTCTGGCGCTGGTAAAGGTGATGACTCGTGGAGCGCAGCCGGACAGGCGGGCCTGGTACCCGGATGGAGAGTGAGCTGCTGTGATGACAGGGCCCGAGCGGCCCACCCAGCTGACCCTCTGCAGAGTCCAGCCCCTGTGTGGCCCGAGGTGGCCATGGCCCCAGCGTCAGGCCAGGTTGACTTTCCAGCCTCGGGTGGGTCGGTTCAACGTGCCACAACCCAGGTGTGTGGAAGGCCACAGCTGCCGGATCTCCTGGCCTCTCTGGCTCCTGCCGACACGTGTGTTGGGGGCGGGTGTGGACCCACGGCCTGGGGGACTCTGTGGAGACCAGGGACCTTTCCAGCTACAGCAGCATCTTCCCTGGGGAGCTGCCCACTCCTGACCTCCTGGTCTCAGAACAAGTACTGGCGGGTGCCACGGGCCATCTGGGGAGATGACCAAGAGCTCACCCAGAGGCTCACCAGGAACCTGGAGTGGCTGGTCCCCTGGACCTGGCCCCACAGGGTCCCTTCTGCCCAGAAGGAGCTAGAAAGGCACATGCTCGCCACGTGGCAGAATGTCCCTGAGGACACCCCGTCCGGACTCCCTCCCAGTTCCAGCCACGCACACCTCCCCCCGCCACTCCTTTCTCCCTGAACCACTGCCAGGATAAAAGAGTGAGGGTGTCAAAGGTAACGCACAGAAACCAAAATGCCTCGCAGTCAGGAGAACAGAGTATAGGGCCAGACTGGTCGGGCCAGGCGGAGGGGCCAGAGCTGGGCGTGTCCTCCGGCCGGCAGGCCTGGCGTCTGTCTCCGGGGGAGGCGAGCTGTGGCGCAGAGGACGGTCTGTGAGCGAGCAGGCCCAGGGCTCAGCAGCGACGGAAGAGAAAGAGACGACGGCCCCCCAGCCCTGCCCAGGACCTGCGGGGCCAGCCAGGCGATGCCGGAGGCCTGTCTCGATCCGCTGACTCTCATGCTCCGCACTCACCCCAGACAGGAAGCCACAGAGAACGCCGGGGTGGCAGAGCCGGTTCTGGTCAGTAACGGCAGGCAGGCTGTCGGGCAGTAGAGACCCTGGCAGCTGCTGAGGAGGCTGGGTGGGCAGCCGAGGGGCCCCCGGACGTCAGAGCTACCGGGAAACGGGGCCACTTGGCATGACTGTCCTCCCGTGGGGGTGGCCATCTCCTTCTGCCCCCAGCAAGCTGGTGTGGCCGGGACGAGGGCAGACACTGCAGGCAGACCTCTCATCCAAACAGCTCCCTGCTCTGAGCTCCAGTCCGGGAGGCCGTCGGTCTTCCTTGAAGTTAGCAGACGAAACGGCAAGAGTTCACTCTCTGTGGGGATGGGGACCGATGCCGGGAAGACTCACACCTTCCCAGCTGTTGAACCGTCTACGGGTGGAAACCGCAGGAACGGGCGATCCCTTCTGCGTCTGTCTCAGGCCGTTGGTGAAGCCTCAATTCCGCCTTTCAACAAAACCGGAATCACATGGGGCCCAAAGCCAGACCGGACCCGTCCCCTCCGTCCAGTTAATGCTGACACTTTCGGTGTCACTTTAGAAGCAGCAGAGACAGGGACAGTCTGACAGCTGGCGGCTCTGCGTCTCTCTCGCCCGGGTCTAGTTGCTTACAGACAGGGCTGGCGCCCCCGGCCTGTGCTTCTGTCCCGTCTGGGGGTGAAGGCCGCTCCGGGAGCCTGGCTTCTGTGTGGGGCCGGGCTGCCTGGACACATTCCCGGAGACGCTGGGCTGCGACCTTCTCCCCACGCTCTTGGCGAAAGGCTTGGGAAGAAAAGGTGGTGCTGGGGGGGGGAGAAGGAAACGAAGACAAAGAATTCCAGAATCGTACAATCAGCTGTCTGAACGCATTTATGTGTTTTTGTTTGAAACCAGAGCAGGGGCAGGAGAGAGGTGCAGGAGGACGAGTGTCTGGGTGCAGGCGGATGGAGGCATCCTGCCCGCCCAAGCTTGGCCCGTCTCAGTCCCAGGGGCGGTGGGGTCAGCCGCCCCGCTCCGCCCCGGAGCTCCGTCTGGCGTGTGTCCCACTCCACCTCCACGCCGCGATGTCACTCCCCGGTCCCGGGGCCCTGCGCGCCGGCGGCTGCCATCACGCCAGCCTGTGCAGTCACAGTCCCCATGGGCTCCTCCACTCGGGACCTCTTGACCTCGGGCTCCCCGGTGGGCGAGGCGGCGGCGGCGGTGGGGGGCGCCGTGCTGGTGGCCGCCGGCTCCTCGGGCCCCACCTCACACACGCGTGTGACCACCACTGGCGTGGACGAGCTGGCCTGGGCCGCAAGGAGCTGCAGAGGGCTGGTGAGGGCTAGGGTGGAGAGAGAGAGAGTCACGCTGCGGAGCTGGGCGGGCCGGCGCTGCCACGCCAGGGCGGGCAGGGAGAGGCAGGTGGCCCGCTCCCCGCACGCCTGGCGCCTCCGGTATGGCCGGCGGGCAGCTCCCGGGGAGAGCCCCTCCCGGCCCCCACCACGCGGGGCCTCCAACCCTGTCCCCGCTCTTTCAGCTGCTTCCGTGCCAGGATCCCTCTAGACACCGTGACGGCTCCCACATCACCCCAGCGGGTCGGGCCCTGCGCCTCGGAGTGCCTTCCCGTCCCTCGGACTCTGCTCTGGCACGGTGCTTCGGCTGCTTTCGTGCCAGGATCCCTCTGGACACCGTGACGGCGCCCACATCACCCCAGTGGGTCGGGCCCTGCGCCTCGGAGCGCCCCCGCCTCCTGCACGGCGCCGAGCGCCTTCCCGTCCCTCAGACTCTGCTCCGGCACGGTGCTCCCTCGGGGCTGCCTTGGCTTCAAATCCCAGCCCGGACCCAGAGCGAGTGCTCAGGACACTGGCCGGAGGAACTGGGGGGACACGCTTGCTGCGCTGACCCTGGCCAGGCTGGCGCTCAGGGCCGAGGGGGGCAGAGAGGGGGCCGCCCCAGGCGGGGCCTCACCGTAAGCATTGCTGGCGAGGCTGCTGGTGGGGACGGCGTGCTTGCCGTTCTGAGTGACGGCGCGGATCGGGAGGTGGTGCTGCCCCAGGGTCACTGGCGTGGCTGGCTGCAGGATGGCGACCGTGTGTCCCGGGACCCCTGGGGCCATCTGGCTGGCCACCGTCTGGATCACCCGGCTGGCGGCGGGGATGGTGGCGAGTGCAATAGTTGGCTTCTCTTCCAGGCCTGTGGGGGCGGCGCGCATCAGAGCCATGGTCACGACCCCGCGGGGGTGCCCCCAGGGGATGGGGGGCCAAGGTCCCAAAGCCAGGACACTGGGCAAAAACCTGGGTTCTCAGCAGGAAACCCCCACTGATGGAATGTTATGAAACAAGAGAAATACAAGCCATAGGATTCCAGGTAGAAATTGAAATACTGTATACTTTGACCAAAGCAAGTTTAATCTGAGAAAGCAAGCGTATTGTTTGGAATGAAACGACTTGCACCTGGAGCTATAACCTAGCTTTCTCTCACCAAAATGTCATCATTAAGGCAGGATCAGGAGGGACGTCACTGCTGGGATGAGCCGCCCGCCGTCCCTAAGACACTGCTTGATTTAGTGTTGGCTCCAGGGCCTCTGACAGCACTGCTCGTGTTCCCAACAGTCACTGCGTTAATCCCCTGGGACCCTGACTTCTAACTCAGGACTCCGTGACTATCACTCTGAAGGACATCTAAGGAGCCCTCACTGGGGGGCTCCAGTCTGAGGCCCCACACCTAGTCCAGGGGCGCCCAGCACCCCAGATGCTGCTTGCGGGGAGTGGCATTTCAAAAGATGATCAGTGCTGCTTCATAGGAACGTTCCCCCCCCGGAAAACAGGGGAAGGGACGAGAGGCGGCCCCACAGAGACACCCTGCCTGAGATGGCCTGAGCCCCACGGCCCAGGCTGATGACTCCACCTTCTGAAGACCCACGAGACCCAGATGCGACTCCGCCAAGGTGACCGTACGGGCAGCTCACCTCTCGCCTCACCGCCCAGGTCCAGCACAGCCGTGCCCGCCGCCTCGTGGGCGCCCCCCGCTGCGGCCTGGCTGGCGAGAATGTATCCGTTGGCGGAGTTGGCGGAGGTGGTGACCACCCTGAGCATGGTGACCGGGGGCGCCTGCTGCACCACATGGATGGCGTGGCCTGAGGGCTGCTGGGCCGTCACGATGGACGCCGGCATGTAGGCGACGGGCTTGGCCACCAAGCTGGGCGGCCGGGGCGGCACGGCCATGATCACCGGCTGGGCGCTGACTGGAGAGCCTGTAGAGGAGGGGCCGGGTCAGCAGGGCCCTGCACGCGCCCTGCTGGGGGGCTCGCGGCTCTGAGTCCTGGGGCATCAGGCAAGAGGGCGAGGCCGGGCTTACCGGGTGCGCTCTGGGAATAGCGGTACTCGGGAACAGAAGCTAACTTGGCCCCAAAGTCAGGGTCGTGCGGAATGGGCGAGCCCTCCCGGGACAGGCACTCTGGAGTCTGCAGGCCACTGGAACGTGGGGACATCAGCCCGGGGTGGGTGGGTGAAGCTGGGGCGCTCCTAGGAGACGGGGAGACAGGACTGTGGCAGTGAGCACACCTGAGTGCTGCCCGACCCTGACACTCCCGTAGCCACAGCCGGCCGCCCGCCGCACAAACCACCACCCCGCGATCCGGGGCCTGGCGAAGGCCACGACCAGCGCGTTCACCTCCGACGGGCCCGGCCAAGCCCCCAGGAAAGCGGCTTGTGCTTCTACGTTAAGAACAGCAGCCTTGCTGGGAACTGCCCCCGGGACAAACTGACACCCGGAGAGCAGAGGTCATCGTGGGAGTCCGGCCGACACCCTCTCCCTGCCTCTCGGGCCGAGCTGGTCTCTCCGAGAAAAGGTGAAGCGGTTTCACTGGCCGCAGCCGTGGGGGCTCACCTGGACGACAGCGGCCCGAAGGGGGTGCGGAAGCAGGAGACGCCCCGCTGCCTCCGTTTCCGGAACGCCTGCTCCACCAGCTTGGTCTCCGAGGCAGGGTCTATCCGCCAAAAGGACCCCTTCCCTGGCTCCTCCTGGGAGCGGGGGACCTTGATGAAGTAGCGGTTCAGGGAGAGGTTGTGGCGGATGGAGTTCTGTGGGCAGAGCGGGGAGTCACCGGTCACGGCGGGTGTGGGTCTGACCCGCGCAGGGGCCCGGCCACCCAAGCTTGGGGTCAGGGCTGGAGGGGCCCCAAGCACAGAGGTGTCACATCGGTTGTGCCTGTGAAAATTCGGCACGGACTCACGAGCAGCCCTTACAGAAAAGCCAAAACATTTAGGACGAGCTCTAGTCCGGGGGACGCCAGGTTCAGAACACGTGCTGAGCCAACTAGCACGCTGGGTGAAGGTCTCATGAACCTAAACCAGAAAGGGTCTGTGGAGAGCGGGGAGGCGTGTCTGCAAGGCCGCACAGGAGCGCCCCGTGCCGAGCCTGTGGACACCTTCCTGTCTGTGGGCTCCCAGGAGGGTCGGTGTGGACTCCGGGATGGGGTGCGGGGCTCGCAGTGCACGGCCCCGGGGAGCGGGAAGGGGCTCACCTACCAGCCCTTGTCGGCCGTGCAGTAGTAAGGGTAATGCTTGGTGATGTGTGCGTAGATGCTCCCAGGAGGGTCGGTGTGGGCTCCAGGATGGGGTGGGGGGCTCACAGTGCATGGCCCCGGGGAGCGGGAAGGGGCTCACCTGCCAGCCCTTGTCGGCCGTGCGGTAGTAAGGGTAATGCTTGGTGATGTGTGCGTAGATGCCGCTCAGGGTTAGCTGCCGGTCCTGCGCGGACGAGATGGCCTGCACGATGAGCTGAGCGTACGAGTACGGCGGCTTCGACTCGTCCTGGGGGCGCAGACGAGGGGGTGAGCCAGGAGAGAGGCGTTTCCAATCCAGCCACCCCTCTCCAGCGAGGACACAGGTTCTTGGGGTGTCTAAGAACATCACCCCCACCTCCTCCTGGGGGTTTAGACTAGGAGGAGCCGATTCTGCCTCATGGGGGAAAGTCACGTTTGATTCTAAAATTTCCCACCTCCTCTGCCAACTGATTTAAGGACAGCTGTCTTGATGGGAATGAACTAAGACTAAGCCGAGAGGTGAGAAGCCTGACGCCCTCCTGGAGGCCGTGAGGAGGCTCTGGAGCTGACCCGGCCCGCGGACGGGACAAGCGGGGCTCGGGGAGGGGGGCAGGGACACCTGCGCCTGCCGGGCACCGGCCGGCACGCCCAGGGCTGAGACCTTGGGGCTGTCCCCTCCGGACGTGTCGGCCTGCTGCTCAGCGGCCCTCGCGGCGTACTCTGCGGCCAACTGCAGGTCGGAGGTCACGTTCTGGACGGAGCGGTAGCTGGAGGAACCGGCCCCTCGGGGGCTGGCTGGGCAGGAGTTGGGGACACTGCGGAGAGAAAGGACACGTCCTGAGGTCCGACCCTGGACGGAGGCCGCCGGTGTCCGGCCCTACGGGACGTCCGCGCTGCACCGAGGGGGCGCGGTGCGCTCACTCGGCCACACGGGGGCGCCCGAGGGGAGGCCGCGCGGAGACACGTGCTCGGCCGGTCCCCCACCCCGCGCCCCCGGCCCCGGCCCCGCGTTCCTCTCCGGTGGGAAGCCGCGCGCCGGTCCGGGGGAGGGAAACGGCGGGGCTCCCCCTCCGTGCCGCAGTGCTTTCGGCGCAAAGGCCGCCCAGCCCGCCCCGCCCAGGGTTCCACCAACAGGCGTGGCCCGGTTCCTGCCGCGAACAAGTAGGCTGCGGTTGTCAAGCCGTGTGGAAAGTTTGATTTTGAAAATTGAAAGTATTCAGAGAAAACCGCCATAAACTCTAAAAGTGGGCCACAAATCCAGGTATGAAGTGTCCCGAGCTGGGGGCTGACCAGAGCTCGGTGGTCACCGTCTCCTTCCACGCATCCCCAGCGCCCCCCGCATCCGCCTCACCTGCAGGGGGGCCTCCCAGGCCCACTCCCCACCGCCCCGGAGGGCGTCTCCCCTCACTGTCCATGGGACAAGATGCCCCCAACTCCCCCGTCAGTCAGATTCACATGAAAGCCCTCCGTTCCAGTTTCCTGGACACGCGCGGAGCCCCTCTCTGGCTGCCCTGCCCTGTGGTTCCTAGGAGGGGCTCAAGAGATAGTTACCGATCTCAGGGAGGGATGAAGGAAAAAGCAAAACACTGTGACTGAGAAAAAGGGGGCAGTTGATATTAATGATGAATTCCACTACCGTCACCCCCTTTGGGGTTGGGAATCCCAGAAACCCAGGTGGGAATTTTCAGGAATCATTCCCCTCTCAGCTAGACTCCGCAGATACAGAGACGAGTTAAGTCCTGCGAGTATAGACACTTTAACCAACAATAATAAACCAGCTGCTGAGAGGTAGGAAGCAGTAATAAAAGCAGCTCTTTCTGAATTTCATTTTGAACCAAACATACAAAACCCAAGCTTTTAAAGTAAGATGGGAGGGGAGGGAAAGCGTCTTACTGGTAACACGTTTACACACTCAGCATCAGGTTTCCAGATGTGTCCATCGGGGAGCCAAACACCACAGCACATGGGGGTTCAACTCGGATGGGGGTGGGGAGAGGGGTTTCCTGAAGAGTCTCTCTTGAAAATGCTGCAGGACTCGCCAGTGCAGGCACCGGGGCACAGGCTCCAGTCCCGGATGGGTTCGGCACCACTTCGGGCAACACTTGGTCCATTCTCTGACCACAGGGGTGAGACGCGTCCCCCAGAAACATACCAGCTCCCAGCAGACAGATTCAGGTGATGTCCAGTTTGGTGGGTGCGCAGGGTTCCATCTGGGAAAACCTTGCTGGCATCTGACCTGAGTGACCCACGGGGCATCCTGATCAGTGCAGATGGCAGACGGGACTCTGGGCTTGGGCACTGGGGTCCACTGCCCGTCCCAAGTCCATACTTTGTAAAACATCTCAGAAGGTTTACATCTAATGCCCCAAAGGCAAAACCCAGAGGAAAGGCTGTCACCCCTCACAGAACAGTTTCCAGTGGAAACAGTGAACAGGCAGCAAGACTGGCTCTCCAGTGGGAGGGGAGGCCGCTTTCCACGGGGCGGGGGAGGCTGGTGCTGACACCCTCCCCGGGGAAGCTTCCTCGGGCACAGGGCACCGCTGATGCCCGGAAGGCCTGGGGGGCTTGGCCTGGAGAACGTGTGTCCACGTGCACGGTGGCCCCAGCCTCAATAAGCCCCATTCAGTGTCCCCGCGGGCTGGCCTGGGCCCAGAGGGCTGTGCCTGGTACCCAGCCGCCCTGGGGTCACAGGTCCAGGGGTGGGGGGTGGGGCAGAGCAGGAGGCAGGCGAGCAGGATATCTCTGGGCGGAGAATGTGCGATTCAGAGATGACTGGAGGAACTGACCACCACACTGAATGTCCCCCAAGGGAGTTTCCTAGTCCACGTCAAATCCCCTGACCGTCAGCACAACAGGGAAGATTCACAGAGTAAACACACAGGGCATCTCTAGATGGGCCCTGCTGGGACGCCAGGCTTGAGCAAAGAGCTGCCTGCTCCAGGGGCGGCCAGTCCCGGGAGTTCAGGCTGAACAGTGTGACCGGCACACGGCCGCTAAGGGGACAGTAACCAACACTTGTGACGCTGCTCTCACCATGCGGACGGTGAGGAGGAAAAGCCAAGCCCTGTATCCCACGGGCTTGGGACGATGATCTGGTGGGCAGGCTGATGATCTGAGGCTGAGGAACCGGACTGAGGAGGTGCTGAGGGGCCTGAGGACTGGGGGGCGTGGCCGGCCTGCCGAAGCCTCTGCTTTCTTCAGCTCAGTCGTGTCCGACTCTGCGACCCCATGGACTGCAGCGCGCCAGGCCTCCCTGTCCATCACCAATTCCTGGAGCTTGCTCAAACTCATGTCCATTGAGTTGGTGATACCATCCAACCATCTCATCCTCTGTCGTCCCCTTCTCCTCCCGCCTTCAATCTTTTCCAGCATCAGGGTCTTTTCCAATGAATTAGTTCTTCACATCAGGTGGCCAAAGCATTGGAGCTTCAGCCTCAGCATCAGTCCTTCCAATGAATATTCAGGACTGATTTCCTTTAGGATGGACTGGTTGGATCTCCTTGCAGTCCAAGGGACTCTCAAGAGTCTTCTCCATCACCACAGTTCAAAAGCATCAATTCTTTGGCACTCAGCTTTCTTTATAGTCCAACTCTCACATCCATACATGACCATTGGAAAAACCATAGCCTTGACTACACAGACCTTTGTTGGTAAAGTAATGTCTCTGCTTTTTAATATGCTGTCTAGGTTGGTCATAACTTTCCTTCCAAGGAGTAAGCGTCTTCTAATTTCATGGCTGCAGTCACCATTTGCAGTGATTTTGGAGCCTGAGAAAATAAAAGTCTGTCACTGCTTCCCTATCTACTTGCCATGAAGTGATGGAACCAGATGCTATCTATGATCTTCATTTTTGAATGTTGAGTTTTAAGCCAGCTTTTTCACTCACCTCTTTCACTTTCATCAAGAGGCTCTTTAATTCCTCTTTGCTTTCTGTCATAAGGATGGTGTCATCTACATATCTGAGATTACTGATATTTCTCCCGGCAATCTTGATTCCAGCTTGTGCTTCATCCAGCCCAGCGTTTCACATGATGTACTCTGCATATAAGTTAAGGAAGCAAGCTGACAATATACAGCCTTGACGTACTTTCCCGATTTGGAACCAGTCCACTGTTCCATGTCCAATTCTAACTGTTGCTTCTTGACCTACATACAGGTTTCTCAGGAAGCAGGGCAGGTCCATCTCTTGAAGAATTTTCCAGAGTTTGTTGTGACCCACAGAGTCAAAGGCTTTGGCGTAGTTTAGTAAAGCAGATGTTTTTCTGGAACTCTCTTGCTTTTTATATGATCCAATGGATGTTGGCAATTTGATCTCTGGCTCCTCTGCCTTTTCTAAATCCAGCTTGAACATCTGGAATTTCTCAGTTCACATACTGTTGTAGCCTGGCTTGGAGAATTTTGAGCAATACTTTCCTAGCGTGTGAGATGAGTGCAACTGTGCGGTGGTTTGAACATTCTTTGGATTGTCTTTCTTTGGGATTAGAACGAAAACTGACCTTTTCCAGTCCTGTGACTACTGCTGAGTTTTCCAAATTTGCTGGCATATTGAGGGCAGCACTTTCTCAGCATCATCTTTCAGGATTTGAAATAGCTCAACTGGAATTCCATTGCCTCCACTAGCTTTGTTCGTTGTGATGCTTCCTAAGGCCCACTTGACTTCGAATTCCAGGATTCTGGCTCTAGGTGAGTGATCACACCATCGTGGTTATCTGGGTCATTGAGATCTTTTTTGTATAGTTCTGTGTATTCTTGCCACCTCTCCTTAATATCGTCTCCTTCTGTTAGGTGCATAGGTCCTTTATTGTGTCCAACTTTGCATGAAATGTTCCCTTGGTATCTCTTGTTTTCTTGAAGAGATCTCTGTCTTTTAATCGCTGTTCTTAAAATCCTGTGGCTCAAGATCCTAATGAGTATTGTAAACAAAATAATCAAAGCTCAGGGTTTGATGGCCTCAGCACAAGCCGTTTATAGATGTCTCAGAGAGGCGAAGGGCTTCCCTGGGGGCTCAGCTGGTAAAGAATCCGCCTGTAACGCGGGAGACCTGGGTTCAGTCCCTGGGTTGGGAAGATCCCCTGGAGAAGGGGCAGGCTACCCACCCCAGTATTCTGGCCTGGAGAATTCCATGGACTGTATAGTCCATGGGGTTGCAAAGAATCGGGACACCAGTGAGCGGCTTTCAGTCACTCACTCACTCAGAGAGGTGACTTCAAACCAGACCGGCTGCTGAACTGCCCACAAAAGTAAGAAACTGGCAAGAGCCGCGTGGCTCTTGTGGGTGAACTGGTCAACCAAGGCCACGCTGAACCAGTCTAACGTGCAGCCACGAGTGATGCAGTGACAAGGGAAGGGGCAGAGAGAGGGACAGGAGGAAAAACAAGCGGCAGGCCCCTCTGGGCTCCGCAGCGCCCTTCTGGGGCGGGCTCACAAGTACTGACACCCATCGGACAAGCCCTCTGCACGTTCACACCAAGAGGCCCCTGTAGACACGGCCTTCTCTCCAGGAGCGTCACTGAGGGGTCTGCACTTTCTGAAACATCTCTTATTTTGCGTAGTGCTCACAAAGTATTTCTGTAATCTGGGGAGAAAACAAAGAACAGGCCAAGAGAATTCACGGAGGCCAGTTTCTCAGAGTTCTCTTAAGCAGGTCTGTGCCCCCGAAAGAGAAACTGTGCTGTGAGACCTCGGGAAGTGACTGCAGAAGGGGGAGCTGGTGTCTGAAATGCACGTCGTCCCAGTGAGAACAGACCTCCCAGAGCCTCTCTCTCCTGGCAGGCAGGGGGCCCCAGGCCTCCCTCTGCTCCTCCCGCTCGCTCTGCCTGCTTCCTGGACCGCAGCTGTCATCTGGAAAGGAAGGGCCCGGCAGCAGGATGCCAGGCGGGCGTTGCCCCGAAGGCACACCCAGGAACACTGGAGGCAGGGTCTTTTCGGGGCCCCAGCGTCCCCCTGGAGACGGGACCGCAGCACAACAAGCCCAGCCCACCTCCTCTCGACAATTTACGGCCAAAAGGCCCCCGGCACGGATTCCTGGAGAGCAGGAAGAGAACCATAAAGAACACGGAAGGCCACATCTCTGTGTCGAGGAGCCAATTTTTATCTTTCCCCAGTTTCCAGATAAGGAAAGGGACCAGGTGGGTGTGGGGGTGCAGGGCGGGGGGACGGGGGTTGCGGCGGGGGCCACAGGCGCACAGGCAGCCTCCTCTCCGGGTCATCGGGAGAACGGAAATGCGGAGTAAATCACCCTCAGGTAGGAGCCAAAGTCTGTCAGAAACACAACAGCCTTCTAAGGCCCCATCCGAACTCGGAAGACACAACGATGCAGAGTAAGGACCGACTTTCCCGCCGCAGTGAAGCCAGAACGAACTGCGAGGTCAGGGTGACAAGAGGTGGGAACCGAGGCCAGTGGCTTAATGCTCATTTCACACAGGGTTCTGCCAACCTTGGACGAATTCCACAAAGCAGGTTACTTTTGGTTTTGTGATCTCTAAATTAGAAAAATCAAGAAAGGCCTTTCTCAAGAAATAGCTTCTGAAGTCTTGTGTGTTTAGACGTTCAGCCCTGTCGGACTCTTTGCGACCCCATGGACTGCAGCCCACCAGGCTTCTCTGTCCTTGGGATTCCCCAGGCAAGAATACCCGTGCGGGTTGCCATTTTCTCCTCCAGGGGATCTTCCCGACCCTGGGATCGAACCCAGGTCTCCCCCATTGCAGGCGGATTCTTTACTGTCTGAGCCACCAGTCGGCTGCTCTGTCGGTGCTGCCCCGCTTCCCGGGTTCAATTCCAGCAGTCTTCTTTAAACTGCAGCTCTAAGGATTAGTCTCGTTTTGTAACACCCAGAAAATGATTAACCAATCAGTTCTTTCTTAAAGACACCAGTTCAGTGCAAAACGGGAAAAG